GTGAACAAAGAAAACAGTGACTTGTTGGATCTATCAAAAGCACAATGTCATAGAAGAAAAATACAAACACTTGAAGTTTTAAAAGATGTTCATTGTCAGCAAAAGAATGCTAATGATATAACACCCGTACTWTGTGGAATGTGGTCAACATTAATACAAAGCAGCACAACACAATATTTAGAGTCATTAATCAAGACATCCCAAGTCTGCAAATCAAARATAATTCCTCATATTGTTAGAGAGAATGTCAATAAATTTGAAAAAGATCAAGCCAACTTTATAAGAAGTGTTGCTTTGCTGTACAAGGGAGGAATACTGACCAAAACAAAGTACAAAGAAATGAGAAAAGAAAAGGAAACATTCATGAATGATATAGAAGTACCAAAATATGTAGCCTATGATAGGTTAATGGCTTTTATTAAAAGCATTTTAATGCTAAAACATTTAATGTTAACATTTTAATGTTAAAACATGGGTGAATCCTGTGACCTTCAGGTATGATGCTAGTTATACTATGAAGCTATTATAAATATCATTGAAAATAAATAATATTATGCTATATGATTATATAATCATTGTGAAGTAGACATATCTGAACCTTTGTATTACATGTATATTTCCTTATATTTGTACAGAACCATGGCCCTATTAATGTCTTTTGCCCTATAAGTTGTTTCACATGTAAAAAAAAAAATCTGTTATTTTAACTCCAAGAATCACTGCCCTAGGATCTCATTATAAACACTGTGGCTACAGAGGTCATTTTATTAAAGTAAACATGTAAGGAATGATAATTAATGGTATTTAAATGATAATTTGCTTATAAATATGCACTTAAGTATATTTTCTGTAATTTCATGCCTCAAGTGCTTTTCCTCTAAGTATATTATTATATCAATTATTTATTTATTTTGATGCAAGTAAATTGATATCTGTACTAATTTCTTTTAACACTTGTCTGTAATTTAATAGGATTTTGCTGCAGAAAGAAAGAAGTCTCCTGYGAATGGCGTATACCGTCCTTTACAAAGTCTGACCCTGAGGCTTGCTGAGATGTACTTAATGCTGAATAAGGAAGCCAGCTTTCTGCACTGGTTTAACAATGAAGAAGGGACATTCTTTGTGGCAGTGGGGGCTGACGGGGCCCCTTTCGGAAAAGATGAAACAGCTACAGCTTATTTATTATCATTCCTCAACGTGCTACAAGGTGTACAAAGCTGTGACCACAACTATTTGCTTCTCGGTGCCAACTGTGATGAAACACATGAAGTCATGTATGACTATACCAAACATYTTGTTGAGGAGATGGAAGCTATGGAAAAAAGTGAGTTTGAAGTGCTGGGAAARAAAGTGAAGTTCAGGTWTAAGCTCATTCCAAGTGATCAAAAGTGGATGGCTAGCATGTCSGGGGAACTAAATAATGCAGCAATGTATTTTTCATCCTTTGCCAATGTGTCTAAGAGAGACATTCTGACTGTTGGKGGTACAATGGGGACAGACAAAGCGAAAAGTACTTGGATTAAATGGTCTTTCACAAAGCGAATAGAAGATGCAAAAGCCGTTKCAAAATTCAAGCAGAAAAACAAGATCCCAGATGACACTAAAAATGTGAGTCAAAGGAAGAAGGTCACCGAGTATATATCCTCTCTGAAGTCAAGACAAGAATTTGCGCCACCCTTGGGAAAATATGTAGAGTGCCTGAGACCTGAACCTCTGCACAATGGTAATAATGCCTGGCAACGTTGGAACTTAGATATCCTAACTACCGCAATGCAGTTGACAAATAAAGGTGCCATTAACAGTGCGAAGGGTGACGTGAAGCGTCTGCCAAAGGATTGTCCCTTTGCAAAGTATGTGTTTTTCCTGAGAAACGAGATGAAAGCTGGAAGACTTTACAACAAAGTAGAGAAGTGGTTCAGAGAAATGAAGAAAGAGGATGACTTTTCGTACCGATTCACAGGCAAGGAAACAAAGTTATTCTGTTGCCACTTCATGGAGGTCTGTCGTGTGCTCATTTCTCATCCTGGAATTCCAAGGTCGACTCTTGTACATGTCCACAGCCTGGCGTTTTCAGGTTTATGCCTCCGTAATTCTACTTCTCTATTCAGTAGAATTCACATTGCTGAAAGAGATATAGATTGCCTTAAGGAAGCATGTAATCTTTACTTTAACTGCCAATTCTTGCTCCTCAACAAAGTAGCCCCCACAATGTGGACCATTGGTAAAGCAATTCCTTTTCACACCCAAGAAATCTTCAATGAGTTGGGATTTGGTCTAGGAATGAATAGCATGTAGGAATGAATAGCATGCAAGGAAGGGAGGCAAAACACTCTAAACTTGCTTCATATGCTAAGAATACCACCAGAGGGAAACGACTTAGATGGTGGCAAATTCTGAAACATGAATTCATGGAATTGGTCTGGTTGAAGGAGCAAAATCCTATGCATGAAGCCAAGAAATTGCAGGTTGACGAAACTGACCACAAGAAAAAGTGCAAAGACCAATACATCCCTGCTAAGTGTGCCAATGACAAAGGTTTTTGCTATTGCGGTCTTCCCAATGGAGAGTCTGAAGGCCCACTGTTGATTGGAGAACTTTCTGCCAAATGTGAAATTTGCTCTTCAGAACTGATGCAGCTAGTCCAAGAAACCTGTAAGAATGGCAAGATACACGAAAAGCTAAAAGGGTTTTTGGACGGTGCACCGGGAGCCCAATCTGTTATTTTGGAATAGAAAGCTTATTTATAACCATTAGAGACTATAAGGGACCAGAATTTCAATCAGGTTTACGATATTCATTTAACAAACGCCTAGGTCTTTG